ATTCCTGCAGCCTGTGTGCCACTAGTTAAGCACCACAGGTTGAGGCTAAAGCACAGATACTCCAAGATCAAAAGAAAAATAGGAAAATATATGTCTATGCAGATGAGAGCAAGTCAGTTGGAAGAAAGGAGGAGATGCCCCAGGAGGCCTGGGGCATGAAGATTCAGCAGGTTAAAAGGTGTTTCTTTAGCTGAGGAGCTGGCTGTCATTCCAAAGCACTGTCAGAGAAGCTCTACAGGCACATGAGATGGTTACTTACATCTTCCTCCGTGTCTCCACCTTGCATTGATCCCACAATGTGTGCGCCAGCTCTTCCTGCAAGAGCAAAGAGAATCACCATAAAGCCTGGCTCATGGTTAACACTTAGAAAGAATGAAGGATAAAGTTCAGAGTTTACATTTTAGAGGACTAGTCAAATGGCAGTGAGAGGATGAGATCCCAATGCATGTCAGGCCACCCGCTTTGTTAAGTCTCAGAGGTCAGGAGAAGGTAGAAGAGGGTAAGGCTGACAGTAACTCCAGTCAGGATGGTATTTCCAGAGCTACCTTATGCCAGTATGCCAGTTCTGACAGGACAAGAGGCAAGGGACACATTAAGAAACAAGAAATTCTATCTGAACACAAAAAACCACTTTTTTTTACTGTGAGGGTGGTTAAACATTGGAACAAAGTTGCCAAGAGAAGTTGTGGAGTCTCCATCCATGGAGATACTCAAAACCCAACTGGATATGGTCCTGGACCACCTGCTCAAATCTCCTGTTTGAGCAGAGGGGTTGGACTAGATGATCTCAAGAGGCCCCTTCCATCCTAAATAATTCTGTGAAGTGGCATATTCCTTCCTCTGCTTCGGTACACAGAGAACAAAAGCTTGTCTTTTCCATGTGGTAAGCCTTCTGTCCTTTTGAGAGCTTGCTATGCTCAGATCCTTTCTGATATTCCAGTAGGGACTGACATCTCACAGGGATCCTAGGCAGTGCCAAGGCAAACCTCAAGAATTTCTTGTTGAGAGTTGGATGCGTAAGTTTGAAGAGGGAGGTGGAGATCTCAGGGTTGCCAGGAGTTCACTGAGAAAGGAGAACATCCTTGCGCCTCCCTTTGTTACTTTTGGCTATGTAGAGGCCGTATGAAATGGGGAAGATGCTAGCATGGTCTCCTTTGCTAGGAAGGGAGTTCAGAAGGTGTTGGGAATGGGTACAGCAGAGATGTGACTGGGGAAATTCTGTGTGCGGGCTGAGTGGGTGACAGCCCTGCTTCCTGCAGCCACCAGAAGTCACTCGGCACTAACTGGGTGCCTATTTAACAGTCCTACTGTGACCATCGCATTTCACCGGCTGTTTATCTCCCCTCATCACTAGTTTTCTCTACGCCAAATACAGATTTTTCCAATCTAGACAAAATCTATTATTTGCTTTTTTAGCACAAAAACAAAGCAACTTTAAAATATATTCTGCAAACCTCTTTTATATCTCCCGAAGCGCAAAGGTCCCTTTCGTCCCCTTTGCAGATTGAGCTGGGTTAGTTGTAGCAAAAAGCTGGCTAACTCATTCAGAAGTCACCAAAATACCCTTGTTGTGTCAAGGCAGATAAGTTGAAGGATGTTATGCCTTTAAATAAAAAGTGCTGCTCTCTATCCATTGGGTTGCTGATAACACAGGCAGTGGAGGTGGAATTATAAGAAGATTCCTGGACAGAAGATCTCTCTTCAAGCTTTGGAGACTTTTGCTTTAATTTACGCTAGACTACACTATATAAATTTGGAGATGATTACAACTGACGTCATTAGACAACAACGGAACCACATTTCTGCCCAGCCTACAGATGGCTCTAAGAGCTTAACTGCAATTTTGCTACGTAGAAGGCTCAGCACAAAGTATTAAATAGGGAATTATTACCTTAACAGGAGAAAGCAGCAGGGAGCTCCTAAAATTTACAGGTAAGACAAAGCTGAGAGAGATCCTGAATATAAAAGAGAATCAAAATATCACATAAGGAGAGCTGATGAAATAGGACAGTTCAAAAATGCCAAGGGAAGAGCTTAGAGAATGCCAACAGAAGGTCTGCAGGATGCTGCTCTTCCATCAGTGGAAACAGTAAGGACATCCTATGGGCATCTAACTGCTTGCATTTGGAGGAAGATGAGAATTGAGTACTGCTCAGACTTTGATCTCTACATCGTTTAAGCCAGGAGAACCTCTCTGAACTAGCGACCGTGGGATCAGCAGGATTAGGTCCTGTAGCACAACCCTGGGACACTCACAGGAGACACCCCAGGATGCAGAGGGGCTGGAGCTTCAGGTTGTGCACTATGCTGTAGCCTAAACAGGAGAGAAAACAATTTTCCATGTTGGTAGATGAGCTTCTGTGACAAAGGCGGGAGCTTTATTTTAACTTTCAGATCGTAATCCCCCAAGTTTCCGTGTGTGGGAGCAAGAGGAGTGACAGATGGCCGTGGTGTGTGCATTTCTGTGTGTACAGCGGGAGAGATAGGAAACAGAGGAGTCGTCTGCACAGGATGGGGAGAGCTGGCAGGTACGGGGGTGTTTGTCACTTGAAATTTCCTGGGTTCAATTTAGCTGGGCTCAGCTTGCTGTGGCATTAGTGCTGCACTGCTCTGGCCACAGAAGCTCATGCAGCTTCCAAGCGGGTGAGAGCCTATTATGTTTACTTACAGATAATGTGAATTCATCCGGGACAGGCTGTACAAAGTGATAATTAGGTAAAATGTTAGTAATGAACAGACTGTAATTCACTGCACCTTTGGATTCAAATCTAATCTCCGTGCATCGCCATGGTTTATAGCCACGGAGCTATCAGAGACCAGAAGTGAATGTGCATCCACAATTTTAAGCCTGTGAGCATTTGCCATTTTTCCTCTGCATGTGATGCTTGCCATTGTACTAACCCATGCAGCTGCCTACAATGGATCCACAGGACTAGAATGATTTACATCTGCTTACCCAGCAGTGGCTATATGTTAACCCCATGCCTGACAGCAAGAAGCAACACTTAACCTGAGAGGTCAGAACAACCTACCAGGAGGGGAAGGTAGATTTGCAGCTGCAACATTTTGCTCCCAGTTTGGAGATCTGTGGTCTGTCTCCAGCTTTTAATGCAAATTCACAGTGTGAGCTCAGATAAGACACTTCCCTTCCCTCTGCATCCCTTCTGCCCACAGAAAATTGGGATAAATCTCAGGCACAAGTCTGATGAGGAGCTGAGGGAGCTGGGGGTGTTTAGCCTGGAGAAGAGGAGGCTGAGGGGAGACCTGATCGCTCCCTACAATGACCTGAAAGGAGGCTGGAGCGAGGTGGGGGTCAGTCTCTTCTCCCAAGTAATGTGCAACAGAACAAGAGGAAATGGCCTCAAGTTGCCCCAGGGGAGGTTTAGATTGGATATTGGGAAAAATTTCTTCACTGAAAGGGTTGTCAAGCCCTGGAACAGGCTGCCCAGGGAAGTGGTGGAGTCACCATCCCCGGAGGTACTTAAAAGACGTGTAGGTGTGGTGCTTTGGGATATGGTTTAGTGGTGGGCTTGGCCATGCTAGGTTTATGGTTGGACTTGATGATCTTAAAGGTCCTTTCCAACCTAAACAATTCTGTGATTCTATGATTAATTAAACACACTACAGCTGCTGCCCAGGATGAGCATATTTCTATTTATTTCTTACGCCCTCCATGAAAAGGAATTTGCGCAGAAATGAGTCACCTGTTTCAATCCCACCATTTCAGACCTACGACCTCTCCTCCTTCTCCACTAGGTCCAGTGTCGCAATGGTCATGAAGCACACAGAAACACCTCCTCGCTCCCAGGGAACATTGAACTTTGCTGACACAAAACATACAGCCAAAGACAGCTCTCTTGGGAGCAGATGTCGTGATGTTGGGAGGAAGCTCTATTTCAAGTTAAGACAAATTAATTTCTGTGTATTCCAAACTGCAGCCCCTTTTTGGTGTTTCCAAACATGCTTGATTGCCCCCCCTTTCCCCAGCTACACGAGCCTGGTATTACTGTTCAGCAGCTGTTACATCAGGAAACTAAAGACTTTGCAGACTTTTATCTGAGGGATAGGAATCTGCAGAGATCCACACAGAAGTACATAAAAATGAGAAGAACAGTTATATCAGGTTTCTCCCTTCCAGATTAGTTTCCTCCAAGCACTGGCAGTCAGACCCAATGGCTCAAACACCTAGTGCTGACTGTTTTTTTCCCTCTGCTTGACCTGAAAAGGCAAGGAAGAGACTAATCTGACTCTCCAAAATTCTTTTATAAGGTTTACAATTAGAACTTGACTTGCTTTACTAGAAAAGTATACTCACTCCAGGAGCACAGTCACAAGGACCCACTGTATGCCATGCATACAAAGCCCCAGTCAGGATATAATTCCACTTTGTGAGGCTCACAAGGTAGGAATTTATTTTTTAAAGTTCGTGGAGAGCAATACCAGTCCTCTTGAGGTGCTGCGAGAGCAGGTGCATTTGTGAAATTTTTTCCCTTGACTTCATATATTATCAAACAGCTGGAGAACTTAAATCCTGCTAATGCACAGCCAAATACCTTCCCGCCAGACCTTTATGCCTCAGCCTTCTCCCTCTGCCTCCACCACAGTATGTACAAAATCCAGACCCACTCATCTCCTTGCTTTCACAGACTTTGAATCAAGGCAAACACGCAATGAGATGCCTGCAAACACCAGCGTTCGTGAAGAACCATCAAGGAGAGAGCAGCCTGGCCAGGTTAGAAAAGATTTTTGTTTCAGTTGCTCTGTACTTCTCGTTAACTGCCAAGAAATCAGGCGGGGATTTTCAAAGGAGCTCTGGGGTTACAAACAATAATCACAAATCCCACACAGAAAGGAAAGGTAAGAAGAGTTCAGTGCCCAGCAGAGCCTGGCTGCTGTTCATATCTGACTCACCTCTGCCCACTTGATGCCACATCAGGTCGATAGCTCTCCTTTCTGGGCAGACATCAGAATCTATTTTGGGATCTGAAAGCACAGGCTGCAAAGTACCTGCAAGCCCCACAGAGTATGTGAACTGCAGATTCCTGGTATTTTTGAGATTCAGGCCTTGCCATGCTGGAACTTCTGGGGCATCAGAAGGGCACCGACAGTTCCTTGAATCTGCGGCTGAAGTTTGCACGTGCAACAGACCCTTGGCAAATCCTCCCTAGTGGCACTTTAGTTTTCAAGTGTGGCACGACTCGGGCAAGACATTTTCTTCTGTTTTTTAACAACACAAACTCCACATACTCTGACAGCAGCACTGGAGAGACCCTGATCACAGTTTGTTAAGGGTTTCTGAACAGACTGTTTGGGGG